ATTTTAAACTTGAGTAAATGGATAGCATATGAAGGAGAAAACTGGAAAAAAATGGAAATATCTCTTTCATCTTCTCAATTCACAAATGATATCGATAATTCAGTTCCTGTTTATCACCAAGAACGGATTGAAAATAAAGTAAATGTTCTTCTGGTGCAGCGAAACTCAGGATGTAAAACAGTACCAAATGAAAGGCAAGCTAATCGGCGTAGCATTTTAGAATTGGAGAGTATGTTTTCTGAAGTTGATTTACTTGCATTATAAACATTCCTTTCAATTTTAGATTCGAATGATCATTTGAGATCAAAGCAATACGTATATTCTCAATTCAATTTGAATGATATTGAAAGTTCTAACGTCACCGAACAGACTCCAGAATTAAAATTATCACCAGTCTTTAGGCCCAGTCCTTTCATTAAACGGAAACAGTATACTCAAAAATTACCAGAAAACGAAATGAAGGTGGCTAATTAAAGATTTGAAGTTCAATCTCAGTTGTTGTAACATAAAACCAAAGTCATATATTTGTACTAGAGATCTTCAACATCATCAGTGCTTCTGATCTATCTTCAAGAAACTTTTTGAAATAAAAACTTCACATAATCTATAGTTTGATTAAAATATTGTTTTAAATTTAAATATCATTCTTTTATTTTGTATAAAAAGAAATTAACTTTCTAGCCAAGTCAATTCTTTCGATAATCCTTGTAGATCTTTAGTTGCTTTTTGTACTATAATTGTTAAGATCTAATAAAATCAAATTTAAGAAGTTTATATCATGATGATTGATATCTTTTCACTTCAGTTTTAACTCATATATGGTTTTTAGTAGGCAATGATAATACGATGTAATTAAATCAAGTAGAAGTTGATAATATCTTATGCTACAGTGAACGCGGAAGATTTATTATATACAAATATTCATATGATTTTTTTTTATTGAATAATAAAGACTACATTTGCATTATTATTTATTCTGCAAATAATTTATTAATTGCTATGAAGCTAGAAAAGGAAGTGAAACAATTTCAACGTACGTATATCTATTTTTAATACATATGCTAATGTCCATTTCGAAAATAAAAGACGAGTAGATATGTTTTTAATAAATTTTGATAATAACAAGATAGAACGCTACGGTATTCACCATTCGACAGAGGTCACGAAATCAAACCGAATTATATGTTATAGGCTCTTCTGAGGTTTTTTCTGAACTTTTTTGTAATAAAATTTATAATAGAAAACTATTGGGAAAATATTTTCTTTTAAAATAAAAGAAGCAGAGAAAATGTGATTCTGTTTTCACAGCAATTGCATGAAAAATAAGCCAAAATTTTTGACTAGAACACCTATGACTTCTGAATACTTAAATCTAAACGTCTGAGGCTTGTATCGTTGTCTAGATCGTCTATGGGCGATTCGAATGCACACCTGATAATGGAAAACTCACTATAGTCGTCTCACAGGAGACGTAAGTTTTCAAAAGATTGATTGAAAACTATGAAAAAAGAAAACAGATCGAAAAATATTGTAATATATGATTCGATGTGTCTTCATCTCCTCTCTCTAAAAAGGAAAATAGTAGCTCTCTATTTTGTTTTTATTAAAATTTATTTAATAAACTGCCACTCATCTTTTTATTATCTTTGTAATGAGCATTACTTGTTCGAAAGTGAAAGACTGTTCGACTGTATCTAATTGTGCGCATTTATTTCGAAAAAGAAAAATTAATTCAATCTATTCTAATGACTAGTTTGAGTGAAATTAAAATAATTATCACAATCAACACGAAACATGTTTCATTTAAAGCGTCATAACACTGCTATTAATCTTGGATTCAACAAAAAGCATTATTTCAGAAGCTTATCTCGAGTATGTTTGACGAAAATATTCCTGGATATTGTGAAAATGTTGATCAATATGTCTGCATGGGTAATTGTAAAAATATTTGACTTCATAAATGTGAGAGAACGTATAAGAAAAGAACAGTATCATATGTACAGACATGACTCACTCGTCTTGACACATATACAGAAGGTTACTATGCTTGTTAACGAACAGATCGGTACGTGTGCATTTGTGATGTATCTGTCTTTTTTGATAAAAAAAAAAGTGTTTCGATTCACAATTATTCACAGACTATCGACAAGTATGGTGCTTTCGTTTTCTTAAAAAGAAGAACGTGAAAGTTAAAAATTTTTTTTCTTCTTTTCTTTCATTTATATTCAACTTTTGCGTTGAACTAAGTTTTTTATCGTCATATAATCATAAGATGTGTCTTCTTGTTTATTCTTCTAAAAGAAAAAAAGAAAGAAGAAATTTTTCGAACTTTTGTTTTCTTTCTGAAAATACAAAGTAAGTAATAGTAGTATTCGAATCTAATTCTCACTTATGTTATAAAAACTTTCGAAGTATATCAGTTCGAAAGTTTTTCTTTTTTTTTTGTCATTGTGTCATGTGATATTTTGAACAAGTTTCATTAGTTGTCCTTTGATTCTTTTTAGATATTAAATATATCTATATCATGGCTTCGACAAATCTATCACAAAATATCAAAATAGATATTCAACAGACAATAAATGCTGAAATGCAATCACTTATTGAAAAAGCAGCCGATTTAGTACTTAATTGTGAAGCTATTTTATTTACTAGTGGTGCTGGAATGGGCGTAAGTAGTGGACTTGGCACATTTCGAGGTGTTGCAGCTGGCGTTTGGCCACCTTTATTAAAGCATCCAGAATTAGATTTTACTGATATGAGTAATCCACAATGGTTTACAAAGCCACAAGGTAACAGTGATAAACACAATACGGCTAATTTTGGTTATGCTTTTTGGGCATATCGATACAATGCTTATACATCAGCTGCTCCACATCTTGGTTATGAAATTGCTAAACGATGGAGGGAATTGAATCATGTTAAATTTTCATTTAGTTTTACTAGTAATATTGATGGTCATTTGGATAAAATCCGGTTGGAATGAATCAGCAGTTCTTGAATGTCATGGTTCCGTTCATTATATGCAATGCATTGATAAATGTTGTGAATGTATATGGGAGACCAACAGGACATTGAAACTTAATGTAGATCCGAAAACAGATTGTGTTATTGATCCTTTACCTCAATGTCTTTATTGTGAGAAATTAGCAAGACCAAATGTATTAATGTTTGGTGATAGGAAGTTTTTAGGGAATCGATTGAATGAACAAGTTGCTCATTATGAAAAATTTAAATCTGATATTGTTAGAACAAAAGCCAGATTATTAATTATTGAATTAGGAGCTGGTACAGCCGTTCCAACGGTTAGAGCAGAAAGTGAACGAATATTCGTCGATTCAAGATGGACAGCTGATTTTATTCGTATTAATCCATTAGATGAACATTCCAGAATTAATTTTTATTACAAAAATAAAGGTAAAGGACAAACAATAGAAATTAGTCTTGATGCATTAACAGCTTTGGTATTAATTGATGAAGCAATCAAGAAGAAATTGAAACAATAATAATATTCTGAATATTTTCAATTCGAACAATTTTTCGTACACAACATATAAACACTATTTCCTATATTCATTAATGATAATCGAAAACTTGTCGATGTTTATAACAATAAAGTAATTAACCAAATCGAATGTATACTACATTTTCATTTGTGTAAAGAAAATAAAATTCATTTGCATATTATGATTTATAAACTTCATTACTGGTTTTATTATGATATAAACCTTTTTAACATCACATCAATGATGTTGCGTTTTTTTTTGTGAATAATTGGATAAAAAGATAGCAGTTAGATAAAGAAAAATATTTCATTCTTATTTCTGTTCTAATCAAACAATAATAAATAAATATGAATTGTGATCATATGAGTATATATTCAAGAGACATACAGTATTAATAATTCTATTAGAAAAAAACGAAGTATTTATTCTCATAAAATATTTATCAACTATTTTATTTGAAAAATATTGCACCTCTTACTGAATTATCAGTGATAAAAAATTTATCATTAGGATGACGTGAATTTATAATTGGTTGAATTATCATTGTTTTCAAAACAACATAATAAACTCATAGAGGATTATAATCAACAGGTATTAGTTCTTTTAAATAGAGAGAGAGATTATCCAGATAATTCTAAAGAAGTATATGAATCCTTGTCAGTTGGTTTAGCTCTAAAAATTTCTGAAAAATGGTTCCAATAAAGATAATTTCAATAGACAAGTAAATGAACAAGAACTTTTCTCATAATATTATCTGACAATGTGTCGTTGAAAATAATTACAAAGAATCAATCACACAAGAGATAAGAACGGTAAGCTCATTATTAATATATTGTTTTCCTTGTCATCATGTACGTCATGTAAGTCATGATTTTTGCACTTGCACACAAAGACGTCCATCTGTTCAACAAATTCAAAATAAAGATATTCATGATCGATATAAATATTTCTAACAATTCTTTCATACTATTCCATTGTGTTGAGATGGTAATGTCTCGCTTTCTCTTTTTACTTGTCTGCTTTATTCTATCTATCGATTCTTTGAATACTGTTCGCATTCTTGGTCTTTTTCCTGAATATCAGGATGCAACTTCTAATTATTTAAACGTGAATAAAAGTTATCATTGGATAACTCAATGTATGGGAATGTTTCGTGCAGCAATCACTCTTGCTAATCGCTACAAAGTCTATGTAGATGGGCGTCCTATCAGTTACACTATTCTTCAGACAAACACCAATACTAATGGCTACATGGAACTTGAACTTGTCTGTCGATCAATTACTAACCAAACAGAACCCGATGTTGTAGGCGTTGTCGGACCATCAAGTTCAACTAATGCGCGCTATCTTGGCCCATTTGCTGCACGTATAGGTTTGCCACTTGTTTCTTATGCTGCAACTAATGCTGATCTTGACGATACATTTACCTATCAAACATTCTATCGTACTATACCTTCGGATACTCTTCTAGCTCATGCTGTTGTGCAATTGTTCAAATACTTTTCATGGACAACTTGTACAATAATTATTGGAAAAGATGATTATGGTTATGGTGCATTGAAAATATTATCAGAACTTTATTATTCAAATTTGTCACTTCAAGAGCGATTAATATTTGATCCACGGTTTGATCAATTTCACGCTCATTTAAAGCCAACATTAGAAAGAAGTCGATCTCGTATTGTATTAGTTTGGGCTAATCAAAGCTCCACTACAAGAATTATTCAACATGCACTTAAAGCAGAACTTCTCGGCGGAAACTACGTATGGGTAACGACAAATAAGGTAAATTCAAAGATATTTTAATTTAAAGAACTCATCTATTTTTGATAATTTTTCTCCATTCTCTCAAAGAAATTAAACGCTATCATTAAAATAAAATCTACAGATTCAAGTTCGCGAGTACAGTTGCCTGTATTTTTGTTATAACTTTGCATCAATACGGTATGTAAACGGATCGTATTTTCTCGTAATTTACGGTACAGTAATGCGCCATTGTATGCGATGCTGTATTTTCATTCTATAAGGTCGTATCTCTGCATCAAATATTACGGTTAGAATACGGTCCATTTTACATCTTAAATTAATCGTAAATGGCTGTATACGGGCTGTATCGTTAAATCTGAGAATGCATAGATATCCATTCGTGATAATACTAACGACTTCTTTATGCCTTTCGATGATCAACGTTTAATAAATTTCTTTTGATTTATATTGTATTAGCACTCTTTTCAGATTGATTTCAATGTATTCATACAAAATGATTGGTTTAAATTAAAAGGTATTCTTACTGTAGTACCTACCATAGGTAATAGCAGTATCTTTGGTGTTAATGAAACATTACAAAAAGAAGCTTTTGATACATGGCGTAAGTTGTCAAATGACGACACCCAAGTTCCAAAACATTTATCTGCTGTCAGTCCATTTGCCATGTATACATTTGATGCTGTTTGGGCTATGATTCAAGCATTAAACAAATCAACGCTTGATAAAAAATCGCCATCAATGCAAAAATCATCTACATGCTTTGATAGTTTATTGCAAAACCATACCGAGTATCTTATGTATCTGAATCAGACTCTTTTTTTCGGTGTGTCAGGAATTATTCATTTTTCTAAAGATAATTTACATGAACGCACTCATGGTACCATGTATACTCTCTACAATGTGCAAGATACAGAACAGAAATCTGATAAAGTAAGACGAGTACCAAACTATAAACAAATAATGACATGGTATGAGATAAGTCATAATTGGATGAACTACTCGGATCAAGACAACATTAATATCATTTGGCCCAACAATCAATCAGAAAAAGTGCCTACTGATTATCCACAACTTCGAGGTTTGGAAAAAGTTAATTAAAAAAAATTATTGTCAATTTACAAATAGAAAGAATAAGCACAAACAAATATTGACAGTCAAAAAACTAAAAGAAATTTCGAAAAACTTTATATCAAACTATATCTAATAATATGAGATAAATAATAGGATAATATTTGAAAAATAGATTTGTTGAGTAAACAAAAAAACAATATTTTTCTTCAATCATCAATGAAATTAAATTTAAAACTATTGCCTAAGGTAAATAGATCTGATTAAAAATCGTCATTTTTTTCTCACTCTAGAAACATTGTAAAATGACATAACATCATCAGTATATAACTACTTTGCTATCAATTCGTTAATATCTCATCCTTTTTATGGAAAAAAATTTCAGAAACATCAGAACTCGGAGTGTTCTCTTTCAAAAGAACAGAAAATCAAATTTAGATAACATATAACATTTCAATGATATTTTTCAATCAAAATCAATACCATTCCAAATAGAATTATTATATGGTAGTTTTGTTTTAATTCAAACAAATTAAGACTCTGTTTATATCTTACTAATTGAAACATTTATGAAATTCTTTAAAACTTCGGATTTGTTAAATTGTTCTTGTGTCTAATAGTCAATTTAAAATACCGTATGATCTCACATGAAAACTAGGGATAGTAGATAAGAAATCACCTCTAATCAATATGATCCAATATTGCGCTCTATTTTTCTTTTTTTCTCTATTGACTAAACGTACATTTACAAAGTTCCACGAAGTAAACAAAACAAAGATGTGAATAAAATTCAAGTATTGTGAATACGACTATGAGCACATTTCATTGACAGTGATGAACATTGGTTCATTTCATGCAATCACATGATCAAGACAATGCAATAGTTCATAACATTGACGATAAATGATTCCTTTTCTACCATCTTTTGTTTACATACGAGGTCTTATGATATTTCAAATTGATCGTTACACAAACCAATAATTAAACAAATCTGTAGTATTAAAGAGTTTCATATATGTTTCAATTAGTAAGATATAAACAGAATCTTCATTTGTTTGAATTAAGATAAGACTATGATCTAATAATTGTATCCGGAATGCAATGGATTTTGATTGAAAAATATCGTAGAAATGGTTTATGTTATCTAAATTTGATTGTCTGTTCGTTTAAAAGACTGTACTACTATGAGCTCTAATGTGAATTTCTTCTCAATATTTTTTTTTTCTATTATCTGTTGTCTTTCTAGTTTTATAGAAAAAAAAATTACATATACATATCATATCTTTTTAAGGAATGTTATAACTGACATCGAATATATTTAGGTCAACATTTGCGAATTCGTGTCATTGAAGCTCCTCCATTCGTTATAGTACACAATATGTCAACTCAAGGTCAATCCTGGAACAGTATTAAGTATGGTGAACAATTTGGTTTCCTTATTAATCCTCTGAAAACTAAAAAACCAAATGTTTTTATTTATGGACTTGTTGCTGATTTAATCCGTGAACTTCAACAGAAAATGCATTTTAATTACACTATTGACGTAGCCGATCTATCAACAAGCTATCATTCTCTTGTTGCATCCGTTGCAAGTGATAATCGTCAATATGATATTGTTTTATCTGATATTAGAATAACTTCAGGTCGTCTTCTTACAGTGGATTTCTCAACACCATTTCATGAAAACACATTTCGAATAATAACTCGACAACATCCATATTCTTCATCACTTAGTCTTTTCTCGTGTTTTAATCCATTTACTTGGGATGTATGGGTGGCTATTTTTGCAATTATGATTTATTCAGGAATCATTATTTATTTTTTTGAATATCAAAATATAAAAATTGAAAATAGACAATCTCAATCTGATTTAAAAGATATGATAATTGGTATATATCATGCATTAACTAGTATTTTGATCATGAGTGGTGACATACGTTTAGCAACAGCTTCAAGTCGATTAACAGTTTTAGGTTTATATGCATTAGGTGTTATTCTTGTTGCAACTTATACAGCTAATCTTTCATCTTTTCTTACGCTAAACCGTGTTCAACCGTCTATTTCTGGTATTGATGATATAAAAAATGGACGCATACCTTTTTCACGTATTGGTATAGTCACCAATTCAGCTGCATCAGATTATTATATACAAAATATTTCTTCTAAATATTATCCTCTTTCGACAGCTGAAGAGATGTACTCAAAATTACTTGATCATACAATTGATGCATCTATATGGGATTCATCTGTAATTGAATATGCTGTTAACAATTATTTTTGTGATGAATTAACTGTAACTGGTGTTGGTTTTGTTAAATCATCGTTTGGTATTGTCTTACCTAAAAATTGGATATACAAGAGAGATTTAGATGTTCATATTCTGGCTCTACGTGAATCAGAACGATTAGAATCGTTAGAAAAGATGTGGGTTAAATATCGAGGATGTCCATCATCATCAAGCAGTTCAAATTATGCTGATGGTTCGAAAACTGCAACATTTTCACTTGATATCTTGGGTGGACTCTTTCTTACGTTTCTGATCATAACTGTGATAGCATTTGGCTTTCATATATGGCATTGTCGAGTAGTTATTATTACTACATTTTATCAGAGTAGGAAACGAATTACACCATCAATAATTCAAAAGATAATGAAATATTAATATAAACTTTTGTTGAATAATGTCATGAATCATACAAACAACATTAAAAATCTGAACTGTCACATATTATTGCTTTTTTATTTTTTGAAAAAAAAAAATGAAATATATTCCAGAAAAGTACACAATTTTCAATGCTCATTTTGATCATTTTAAAAGAAATACTATCATTCATTTAAGAAAAGAATGCCGATGCTTGTTCTTTTGAATAAATTTGGATAGGAACGACGAAGAGAGCTTGTATTTTCATCATTTAAGAGAAAAAAAACCCGGCTCTTCGAAAGTAACTTGAAACCTGACTGTTCAGCAATTGATCAATCATATAAATTCTAAGTGAAGACTTTGAAAACGAGATTCTGAAGTCATCTTCCATTAGTTTCTGATATGTAATATGGTCAATTGCTAAAGAAAAACTTTCTTTTTTGAGCCACGTAAATCCCTACCTGATATCCGCTTTCATTCAAGAGTTATAAACGTTTCCCTTACACGTCTGATTTCAGCAAATTGACCTTGGAGAGGGCTTCAAAACTGTTCCATAGAAGAGTAAATTATCATGATGAATAAAATGATAATGTTATTTTTCAATTTCAAAGCAACATAAAACTACTATTTAAATATTTTTCATGCTTCAAAAACTCGTGTTATACAGCAGCATAAAAATCAAAGTTTTGACAATGTTCGAATAGTGATCTGAGATTGCTTTGAAACTGGAAGCACACATCACTATTCGACTTAGCATGATGAATTAACTTTTATATGGAGCCCTTTTAGAAGCTTTGAATGTCATTTTGTTCAAATCTGCAGATCTGAAAAAGTTCTTGTGATTCTAGAGTATGAAGCAGGAGTTTACGTAGATCACAAGAGAAGGCTTTTCTTTAGCAATTGATTACATTACACGGCAAAACTCTAACGGAAAAAGGCATTCGTATCTCGTTTTTAACATTTTCGCTAAGAGCTACAAACAGCAGCATTCTTTTCCGACATGGATTATAGATCAATCAATCTATCAAATTAAATCATTTTGTCACAATGTTATCCAAAAACAAATAAGCTCTATATAAAATGCTGTCTTTGAAAAATTTGCTCAACGTAAATTATTCTGACATTCGATGTATCAACGCCTATCAAAAACTACAATATGTTTTTATAAAAAAAAAAAGATCATTAATAAATTGTTTCATAACGAGATTTAAACAGACTGGTTTTGATCTTTCGATTAATATTAGAAGAGAATGATTGTTATTACTGTTTCTTTCGTAAATACATTTCGTATTCTCTACCGATTTTTTTTTTCAACTCATTTGCCTTAAGAGTTCTGCATATTTAACGAAGAAGATTGACTCTACTTATCAATTACTAAACTAGGATTGAAGTGTGTGGCAACTTGATCACCCTTTTAATCTTGTGACTATGTCTACATTGAAAACAAACTTCATTATTAATTCAATTACCTTCAAGTTGTTTTAAATTTATAAGAACACTCGAGAAATATTTAAAGAAAACAAATCGTAGATCTTATTGTGACTATTAAATTTCTGTCCTTATTTTGTAGAATGTGGAGAACATAAAAACCGAGTAATAAAATGAAATTTGAAAAGTCTTATTAAAGTTTTGCCTCAAAAATTGATCTCAGTTAATTTTATTAATAAAGCTCAGTTTTTTATGTAAAAATAATTTAAATGTCATGAAAAAAATTAGATAAAATGACTTCAGTATAGTTTTAATAAATCTTGATCATGCATTTGTCGATGGTATTTTTATTTGTACATATATGACTCATATCTTTTCTTTATTTGAAGAGGCAACTTATTTAATGAGAATACATACTACTAAAGTTTCATTCAAAATAAGCACACATTCATTTTGATTTTGTAAAAAGATGAAAATCGTTACTTTTCTGCTTACTCTTCTTATTGCTCATAGTATTGCTAACAATGGTACACGTAAGTTAATGTTCTAGCAATGAATATTTATTTATAATCTTTCATTATTTTAGAATTTTCCTTCTTCGTGAGTCTGGTGAGTCCTAAAATTGTTCCATATTCACTTGGTATATTTCAATTCAATACGCTTGAACAAGTCACGTTTCCACTTAACATCATAATTCCATCTACAGCACGAAAGGTTAGCGTAACTGTCTTCATTCGAAGTGGAATGAATTCTGGTGAAGCTGCATTTAATGTTTGGTTATGGACTGAATGTCCTGAATATAGTATTAGAGATACAAAATTCAAACGTGGTTATCGTTACTATCAAAGTGCTTATTCATTCGATTCGGAAACACTAGAATTTTTCTATTGCTCATCGAAGCCTGAACTTAATGTCATTACTGATAACCAAGCCAGCAATGTACATCTTGAGCTGTACGCCGTAGGTTATAGTTCAGAATAAGATCGTATTTTGAAAAAAATGACTTGTTTTATTTCAATAAATAATTATATTGTTTTGACAGCATGAACTATTCGAGTTACATCATCTATTCTGAAATTCGTAGAATATTTGAAAAATAGCATAAATTCAAGAATAATCGTATGAAATATACAAAAGTAAATATAATTGATATTCTGTATATGATCGATAGGAATCCATTAGAAAAGTTGCTATTATTTCAAAACTAATAAATAAGATCTGAATAATTCATTGTTTTTAAAACTTTCTTCAATATCAAAATGAAAACATATTCCTGATTAAAAGTAAGGAACAGCGACGATACAAAATTTTCACAACATTTTATGAATATTCGTTTGATTATTTCGAGTTTTACACATAAACATACTTTGTTGATGATGAAACCATTTCAATGAAACACAATACTGACTCATGACGTTCAATATATTTTATCGACTCGAATTGCATAGAAGATATATACTTTGAGCATATTTCACATTGACATGCATACATAGGCTGAGTATAAGATAAAATTCTTATGATGTTTACTTTCAGTAAGTGAATATAAATAGAAATAACACTAGGATCAAGAATATGGCAGCACTAAGACATTTTATAATGATAATACGGTATTGTTTTGAATCAGTAATACTGGATGCATGATAACAACATTAGACGACATAAATATGCCTGTTGATGGTAAGGTTACGATAATTGATGATGATACATGAGAATTGACCTGAACAGATATACATTTTATTTATATTTTGTGTATCATGCTTGCACCTGCTATGTGAAGAGTAAATGTGTGGGTTTTGTCTGTACCTAAGTCCTCACTCGGCCACATCTGGCATCACTGCTCTGACCAACAAGTTACTTTACGGATCATATACGATCATTTACGATCGTCACAGTAATGAGCGTGGATATCCCAGGATGATGATTAAATTCACCAATATGACGAAAACAACTGTACTGTATACTATCGTTTCACACAGTTTTAGATCGTAAAGAGTTGTAGATTGATGTTTTGATAAACACAACATTACAACTGTACTTTATCATGCCCTAGACAGCTAATAACGGTCATCAAATGACCTGAAAATTGAGTATCCAAACAATTACAATACAGTAAAATATAGTCGTAATATTGACCCAATCAGACGGCGAAGAAAAACATCTAACATGGCCATCTACGACCATATTTATTTGATCTGGAGTGATATACATATATGACTTGACATTGAGTTAACTATTTCTGTATATGAATATATTAACAATTTAAGCATAATTCAAGAACTATAATTAACCTACACTGATAGCAAGTAGTTCTTATGTCATTATATTAACGTAAAGTGAATCGAAAGCTTATTTTATTATGTTATTAATTGAATGAAAGATTTAGAAAAATATTTCTTTTCTATTTAAATAATATTCTTGACCATGTCGTTTATTAATTCAAAGTCAACAACAGTGTTCTCTTTCTTGATTTTTTTAATGCTTTTCAATGACATACTGTACGAATTCAGTCACAAACTTAACTTGGTATTATTGTGTAAAATAACCAATGATAGTTACTGAACTCATCGTATATGAAATAGCTAAGATGCTTAGGCAAAACCTATAGTAGATTTTCCCTTGAATTATTTACCTCGGGAACCGGAAAGTTGAGCACGAGGAAAGATGAGCACGGAAAGTTAAGCACGGAAAGTTGAGCACAGAGAAAGATAAGCACGAAAAGTTAAGCACCGAAAAGATAAGCACAAGGAAAGTTCAGCACCGAAAAGTTGAGCACGAAAATGGAAATTACTTTAGACATGGTGATAATGAGCAACCCGGGGGAACACAACTGATTTTAAGATTTCAAGACTTCAGAAGATTTCATGAGACTCCAAAAGATTTCAAGAGATTGCAACATCAGAAACTTCAAATTTTTGAAAGATTTCGAAAGACTTTAAAAGACTTTTAAGAGCGATTCTCTGAGAGACTCAGACACCGACGATGGAGCGACATTCCAGAATTTGCTGATTCTTTGATATGTTATAGAGGACATCGAGTTATGTAGATCTTGAAATTTTCAGCTCTATCCGACAAGTTTTGATATCGAAATGACTTAAAAAATGGACTGGATTTTTTTACTATTTTTTCTCATTTTCAGCTGTTTTTGCCATAATGTCGAGTCACCGCTTTCGATGCGCCAACAATGGATCGATCTAATATTTTTATCTATGAAAGAGATCATCGAGCTCTATCAACTAGGATATTTTTCCATTTTGGCCCATGAAAAAAAAATTTTCTGAAAATTACCCAGAAACCTGACCAGAGGATCAACATAATTCAACACTAATCATCGCGCTATATTGACGCTTCTAGGGAATTTCGAGAAAATTTTTTTTTCATGGGCCAAAAAGGAAAAACATCCTAGTCGATAGAGTTCGATGAGCTCTTTCATAGATAAAAATATTAGATCGATCCATTGTTGGCGCATCGAGAGCGGTGACTCGACATTCTGGCAAAAACAGCTGAAAATGAGAAAAAATAGTAAAAAAATCCAGTCCATTTTTGAAGTCATTTCGATATCAAAACTTGTCGGATAGAGCTGAAAATTTTAAGAT